GTTGTCTCCTACAAAAAGCACCAGATTTGGAGCCAGGAAATCAACTATCCAATTCCTGCTCTGCCACTGACTATTTAGACGATGTCAAACATTTTGTGGCATCTCTCAGTATATTAAATCTCTCATTTGCAAAATAAGGGAATTGGATCAGATGACCAGCAAAATCCCATCTATATTCCAATAAAAGTGCTTTGATAGAGTGTTGGATTACAAATGATGTTCACTCTATGAAGAAAGTTTTCTCTTTATTTATGCTTGAAAATCCTATTTGTAAATATCCATATTACAGGATAAAGATAGGAACCAAATGTAAGAGTTTGTTGATATAAAAAACTCCATGGTAAGAAAATTTCCTATACCAAAGTAGGGAAGTTGTCTTTGTTTAGTCAATTAGTTGTGTCTGACTCTTCATGACCCATTTTGGGTGTTTTTTGGCAATGATACTAGGGCAGATTTCTATTTCCTTCTCCAGCTTGTTTTACAGATGAGGAAACTGAGGCAAACAGGGTTAAGTGACTTGCCCAGGATGACACAGCTATTAAGTGTTTGGGGTCAGATTTGAACCCCGGTTCTCCTGTCTCCAGGCTAGCACTCTACAAATTGTACCATCTTGCTGCCCTCTTATACCCCAAGAATTTTCTAGGACATTGAGAGTTTAAGAGACTTATGCAGGCCCACACTCAGTATGTGTTAGAGTGCGGACTTAGACCCAGGTTCCCTCGTTCTGAAGCTTGCCTTCTATCCATTCATTATACCATGATACCTCCACCTTCTCTTATATCCTCTTTTTATAATGGTAAGAAAGGAATGAAGAGAATGGTCTATTGAAAATTTTTTGGGTAGAGAGAAGGATCAAGGATCACCTGAGAGGTGATACCATGGGGTTGGACTCTTAAAAATTCAGAAATGGGACTGGAGTCAGGAATACACTTCGAACAGTCACCTACAGCTCTTAGATTCACAGTTGAGAGGTAGAGTAACCTGAGGAGTTACACTAGAAATTAAGCAGATCTATATATGCCTTGTACGGGCTCTAAGCACTTAATGAATACTTGTCAATCTGGCTTGACTTGACTCTAAAGGTACCGTCAAAAGAGTAGGATGCAGAGAATTGCTGGCCAGACTATTAAGGCAGAATCCCTCATATAAGATGGTTAATGAAGCCTAGCTACAACCCTGGCTTCTAAGTGATATTTCAGGGGAGGACAAAAGGAGGACCTTCCCCAGATGACGCTAAGAAGGTCTTAAGATTCTTCTCTATAAAATCATCCATGAGGCTATCTCCATCCTCATTGCTAAGCCAAAGAGGCACTACTACTTCTGCCACACATTTGCCTTCAGGATAAAAGTTTCATGATTTTCCACATCCCCTTCCCTGTTTTTGATGCTCATTTGAATCTGATTTTACCTGAATAAATATATAAGATAAATACAAGGTAAAATGAAATAAGGTAAAGGAAATTTCTTCCTCTTTTCACATAACCTTAAGGATGATTTTGGTGCCTGAAATCACCTCCCCCCCATCTCTATTAAACAATAAATGAGAGGGTAAAGAGATCTGGAAGTTCAACAGTAAGAACTCAAAGTCACCACATAAACCTAATGACCATTAATTTCAGAGGAAAAGCTGTTTCTTCAAATTACATCAGGGCCTAAGAGGTGACTCTTGGCCATTTGCTGGCTATGTAGCCTTACACAATAGCCTTTGTGGGCTTCATTTTCCTCTACTATAAAATGAGAGGTTGACTATTTGGTTTCTAAGCTCCCCTTCCCACACTAAGTCAATCAATCAAACAAAAAGTATTTATTAAGCAATTATTATGTAGTAGGCAATGTGCTAAGCTACAAAGAAAAATCAAAAACAGCCTCTATCCTCAAGGAACTTACATTCTAAAGGATGACCTAACTAATGTCTAGGAGAAATGTCCAGAAATTATAGGGAAACAGAGGATTCAATAAAAGAGCTAAATTCCTTAGAGTGAAAGCTGGTCAAAATGGAGTGAGCCACACAGGAGGCCACACGACCATCTGTTGAAAATACTGTAGAAAGAATTCCTGTTCAGGTAGAGAGTGGATCAAATTACTGCTAACTAAGATTCTTTCCAACTTAAAGATTCTCTAATTTTGGCAGACTCTGAAAGGAACATAACACAAACATTTAAGAATATCCAAGTCCATCCAGTTGAAGAAAATAATCCATACATAATATTCTGTGTTGGTTTCCCTGGGAGGCTTCCAATAACATCAAGGTCTACAAGAGCCCTAAAATTGTTTGGCAAGCAAATAAGAGAGCTGATGCCTCAGCAGAATCAGTTTTGTCTGTATCCTCAGACTCTTGCCCTGTGTAATACACATAGTAAGGGCTTGCTGAATTGGTTTGTATTGGTCAACCTCTAGCTAGACCTTTGCAGTGAAATAAAGAGGACTGCATCATGATAGGTATTCAGGGCATCTTATCTAGTGCTCAGCACAGTGCCCAACATACAGTTGGTGCTTAACAAATCCCTCTTAATTTGACTTTACTTTTGTTGAGTATGGGGTGAAAAGCCTCATAAAGGATCCAGACTCTAAATTAGTATTCAGTCACTTGTCCTACCTTCATATATTTAAGGGAAGAAATGGATTCTATATACAAAGACCATGTTTCTTTCATTCCTTCAAAAAATTCATTGAACATCTAGGATGAGCAAGATACTGTACTAGGTGATAGGGAGATAGCTTTTGCCATCAAGGAATTTATATTCTACTGAATAATATAGCACATTAAAAATAAATAAACGCGAGATTCTCCTTCTTCATTCCTTTTTCCTGGCTTCCCTGGAATCCTTCAAATCCCAACAAAAATCCTATCTTCTACAAAAAAAAAAAGACTTTCTGGATCCCTCTTAATGCTACTGCCTTCCCTCAGTTGATTATCTCCAGTTTATCCTCTCCATATCTTATTTGTGTTTACATTTTGTTCCCTCCTCTAGACTGTAAGCTCTTTGAAAACAGAGGCTGCTTCTTGCCTTTCTTTGGATCTCCAGTGCTTAGCATAGGGCTTGGCAAATATTACGTACTTAATAAATACTTGTTGACTTGACTTGGCTTCTCTTTAAGCCAAAGACACAAACAAGGGGAAAACATTTTTCAAAAGGTTTCGATAACTATGTTCCAGGCAACCAAGCCATAATAATAATAGCTCCCATCTCCATCATGCTTTAGAGTCACAGATTAGGTTACCTACATCATTTCATTCTCTTGGAGGTAGATAGTTCCTTTATTGTCATTCCCATTCTACCGATGAAGAAAAAGGCTGAAGAAAATTAAATGACTTGTGCCCGAGGTCATAATGGGAAAAGTGGGAGAGTTGGGACTCCTCTCCACTGTGCCTTCTGTTTACAACAGAGATTTTGTAAGTCAGCCAATACACCTTCCACCTATAGGTGATAAAATGAAGCCATCAGCCACTGCAAATGGACCTAGAGGTCACATGACTAAACCACCCCTGCACCCAACAGTCTCTAATGTATTTTACTCCAGTTTCAATCTATTAATCAGAGGAGTTGGGAGAGCAATAATTTAAACCCTGCAATAATCAATTCCATAACACATTAACAGAAGCTGCGTTCAAACTTTGCCACACCATTGACTGCCTTGGAATCTTGACAGAAGCCCCAGGGCCATGGCTAATTTGCATAAAATTTACATAAAATTGTAAATCAAGAATACATGCACTCAGTTTTAATATTTGTTGATGCTTAGATCTTTGCTGATAGATGGATTGAAAGTGTCTGTGGCTTGATTTCACTTGCAGTAAAATTCTGCAGCTGGTCATATGTGTTTCTCAGCCTTCAGTTGCAGGGAAAAGGGACCCCATGGCGTGATTGTTGTGGGGGGGAGTAATTGAACTGCATTAAGGGTCTCCATCTTCTACAACACTAAATCAGTTGTCCCCTGGATACCATACTTCATAAGTAGCCTGCTCCCAGTACCTTTATAGATCTGTGTCATTGAGATCGATGACCAACATTCAGGCTGGCTGGGACCCAGTCAACACCAGAAGTTAACCTCAACAGAGCCTGAGAAGTATCCTTTCAATACCAAGGCCACTGAGGCTTTGTTCTTGAAATGCTTCCATTTTAGCAAAAGCATTCCACAGACACTGCTTTTTCTTGTTTTGGGTTCTGTTTTTGTTCTTCCCAGGCTCAGGACCAAAGATAACCAAACTGAGAGATAATGCAGCACCCAAGAGTGTATGGATCTCAGTGCATGTCATATTGCTTGGGTTCACAAAACTTTCCCCTAATGACTTAACATAAAAGCAATTTTGTGACATAAAGCAAAAATCTAGCAGATGTTCTCAGTTATTCCTATCTTAGAAAGATAGATAGACAGACATATGATCATCTCTTATTTAAGTATACTCTTTATACCTTTTGGATAAGGAAATAAAGTTGCACTGAAAAGTAAAATTATCTGTCTAAAGTGCTTTGAAAACCTTAAGCATTATATAAATGTTAGCTACTAGTAGTATTATAGCTACATGTTAAGAATTCTCTGTCTCTCTGTCTCTGTCTCTGTCTCTCTCTGTCTCTCTCTCTCTTTCTATTCCCCCCCCTCCTCATGACAACCTTGCAAAATAGGTGCTATTATTATCCCAATTTTACTGATGAGGCACAGAGAGGTTTAGTAATTCATCCAACTAAGGCAAGATATGAACTCAGATCTTCTTGACTCCAAGTACAAGCATATAGGTACTGCCTCACTTAGCTGTCTATAGATACCAGTATGGGTCATACAGACAAGAATCTGCTCTGGGGACTCTATCCAATTCACTTTTTAAAATACCCTTCTGCTATTGTAATTAAAAAGAAACAAAACAAAACAAAAAAACAACCTAGCAGTTAAAGTAAGATTGTATATATAGATAGTGGTCTGAGAAACTAGTGAGATAAAGGTTCTACAACCACAGTAGGTTTTTTGATTCACCTTGCCCTCCCAGTCCCCTCCCAGCTTACCTTGGACGATCAAGTAAACCTGGGAGGTCTTGGGCTGGTGCTGTGTCTGCACTGAGCACGTGTAGGAGCCCTCATCATAGACATCCACTTTCTGGATTCGGAGACTGTATTCCAGAGCAGTCCGTTTCTCCAATTCGACCCGAGGATCCAGGGACCACTTGTCATGTCCAGCAAAAATGATGCCAGATCGGTTTAACCAGGCCACCTTGGAGCTTTTGTCTTCTACATAACACCTGTCAGAAGAGAATGACAATATTAGGACCTGAGCTCTAACTTGATCTAGTTTTATTCTTTCCATCACTGGTAAATGACAGACCTTAACAGGACCAAGCAGAAAAAAAAAAAAGTAATGAAAAAGAAGAACTATTCCATGACATTACTTTTCTTTCATATGGAGTCCTGAGAACTGCCCTGTTATTTCTTCTTTAAAAAGTCTTCCAGAATAGATAATGAAACATATCTCCCTCCTTTTGGCATAGAGGCTTGGGACTACCACAGCAGAAAATTGTATACAGAGTTTTTGCTTTGCTGTTTTATTTTGTTTCAAAGAAGAATAAAATTCTGAGGTGAGAGGTACATCTAGTAAATATTGTGATATAAAAAATAGAATTCATCCATAATTTTAAAAATTCCTTTAGATTTCAAATGGAGTTCTTAATTTTTTTTTTATTTGTTTCACGGACTTCTTTGGCTGTCTGGTGAAGACTTTTGACCCTATCTCAAAATGTTTGCAAATGAATAAAACACATAGAATTATAAAGGAAACCAAATACATGGAAACAGTTATGAAAGTATTATAAGACAAATACCAGGACCTTCTGAAAAATATTTAAGGACTCTTAGTAGTTGGTGGACACTACATTATGAACTCCTGCATTAGATGGATCAAAATTAAGTGAACCCATTACATTTATAGAAGTATTCAGCAACTAGGTGGCGCAGTTGATTGAGTTCTAAGCCTGAGCTCAAATCTAGCCTCAGGTACTTATGAGCTGTGTGATCCTGGACAAGTTACTTAACCTCTGTTTACCTCTGTTTCCTCAACTGTTAAGTGGCAATCAAAACACCACGTATCTATCAAAGCTGTCATGAGGATCAGCTGATATATTTGTACAGTGTCTGGCACATAGAAGGTACTTAATAAATACTTATTTCTACTTTATTTTACAAAGCATTTTAAACATTTTAAATCATCTCACCTGACTGTCAACAGCCTGTGAGGAAGGTAGGCAAGATAGGTATTGTTATCTCCTATTATATAGCTGGTTTGGAAGAGGAGACTCAAGGGTGAAGTACTTAGCCAATATCTCATAACTTGTTAAGTGGCCCAGCCAAGATTAGAAGCCAGGTTTCCTGAGCCTTGTATACTTTCTTCTATATCACAAGACATGAGAAACAGGGTTTAGGACACATTTCTTCTCTTTTTCCTTTCTAAGAGAAAGGCATGAAAGCTAATCATCCTCCTTACCCCTGAATTCTTCAAAACATTTTTCTTGGGTTTCTCCTTTGTACTTATCCAATTCTCCTTCATATCAACCATAGCTACTTGCTATTTTCTTCCTATGAGATTGTAAGCTCCTTGAGGACAGAGACAATGTGAAATATCCTGTGTATAAAAGACATTTGTTTATGAAATACTTGCTAAGTTAGCAATTATTAAGGCCATCATTTTTGAGTAATGGAGGTGGCTACCCAGCTGCTGAATAATTCTATAAATGTGATTGGTTCACTTAATTTTGATCCATCTAATGCAGGAGGTCATAACTTGGGGTCCACCACCCACCAAGAAGTCCATAGATATATTTTAGAAGTTCCTGGGATTTATTTTATAATATTTGTTAACTTTGTTCCCATATAATTGATTTCCTTTATAATCTAGGTGTTTTATTCACTTGTAAACATTTTGAAAAGCTCCATAGTCTTCACCAGACAGCCAAAGTCCATGAAACAAACTAACAAACTAACTTGTGGTTTCTTCTGAGGGGTACTCACAGATGTCAGCTCCCTTCACAAAGGCAGATGAAAAACATCTACAATAATGCTAATTAGTAGTAATAGCAATAATAGTTAGCACTTGTAGAACTCCGACTATGTGCCAGGCAATGTGCTATTCACTTTGCAAATATTATCTCATTTTATCTTTATAAAACCCTGGGTGGTAGGTCTCATTATTATTCCCATTTTACACTTGAGAAAACTGATGCAAACAGAGGTTAAATGAATTGCCCAAAGTCACAAATCTAGTAAGTGTCTAAGGCTGGATATGAACTTAGGTCTTTTCATGAGTTTTTGAGTTCACTCATTTTAGTTTACCTAGGGTTACTCAACTTGTATTGGTATCAAAGTACTGGTTAAATCTGGGTTTTCCTGAATCCAAACTCAGCCCTTCTCTCCACAGAGTCAAGATGCTTCTCAAAACCACTCAATCTGATGCTGAGTGAAGTGAGCAGAACCAGGAGAACATCATACACAATAACAGCTACATTGTGCAATGACTAATATTGATCAACTTAACCCTTCCCAGAAATACAAGGATCTAAGACATCTCCAAAGGCCTCGTGATGGAAAATGCTATCCATATCCAAAGAAAGAACTATGGAGTTTGAATGCAGATCAAAGCATACTGTTTGCTATTTTTTCTCTCTTCTCTTGAGTTTTGTTTCCTCTTTCTGGTGTTTCCTCCTATTGGTTCTATTTTTTTACTTACAACATCACTAATCTGAAAATATGTTTAATAGGAATGTATATGTATAGCCCATATCAGATTGTGTGCCATCTTAAGGAGGGTGGTGGGGAGAGAAGCATATAAGGATTCAGATAGGAAGACTCAGGAGATCAGAGCAGGGTATTTATCCTGTCAAGGAAAGGGAGAGAACAATCATCAATCACTTGCCAAAGTTTTGGTTCCAGATGCTGAGAGCAGCAGGTGTTGGCTAGCCAGAGAACAGAGTGGCATCCCTTCTAGCCACATTAGAATGATTTAGCTCTTCCCATAAAAGAGTAAACATAAAAGCAAACCTCATTTCAGCCTGCACATGCCAAAGAAGGCAGTGAAAACAAAGATAGTTGATCTGCATGGTCGCCCAAGTTAAAATCTCAACAGAGTCCCTGTCTCAAAAGAAAAAGGGAAAGAGTGGAGAAAGTAAACTAACAACAATAAATGTAAACACTTTCAAAATGAACTTAGTTTTCTCCTTTGTTTCTTGAAGCATGGACCAATGATGCTCTCTCTCAAGTGCTGTGAAATAAGGTGGGTAAGCTTCTCTTTGCCTCTCTTTGGCTAGGTGTTTCCCTGGCCAGAAAGGAAAACGTCACAGACATCGTTTCCTGCATATTTCATGCAGTGCTGCTAGCTGGGAAACATCTAGGGGAATCAGGGGATGAGCAAAGGTCAAACTTCTATGGCACAAGGCTACTAACACTGTGTTCCCCAGTTATGTCCTGTAACTACTCAGAGACTTATTTTGTGGCAGGTCAAAACAGTCAAGCACAAAGCTATCCTACCTATGAGTGGGAATGAAAGGGTAGCAGAACAGCTACAGAGTAGGAGTTAGAAGATAGAACTTGGAGAGAAAGATTGGAATAATTGAAAAAATGATATATCTGGAGTCAGCCAATCTGGTTTGAATTCCAGCATTGCTACTCAATATCTCTGCGACCCTGGCCAAAGTAACATAACATTTCTGGCTCTCAGATTTCTCATCTGTAAAATGAGGAGTTTAAGCTAGTCTTGAAGGTCCCTTCGAGGGGGACTCTAAATTTATGATTTACATATGTTCAATATATTATTTAGTGCCTTGGTTTCTCAAGCAGCCAAATGGATAATGATATGCATCTCTCTCTCCCAGAGATAATGTAGATGTTCCCATTCCCATTCAATTTCTTGCTAGCTTTCTGATCATGATCAAAACATTCTCTCTGAGCCTCACTTTCGCTAAGCCTCAATTTCCTCACCTGTAAAATGGAGATGACAATATTGACACTGCTTATTTTTCAGAGTTAAAGTGTTCCTTAACTATAAAGCAGGGCAGCTGAGTGGTACAGTGGATAGAGTGCTGGGCCTGGAGTCAGGATGACTCATTTTCTTGAGTTCAAATCTGGCCTCAGACACTTACTAGTTGTGTGACCCTGGGCAAGTCACTGAAGCCTGTTTGGCTCAGTTTCCTTATCTGTAAAACGAGCAGGAGAAGGAAATGACAAACCACTTCAGCATTCTTGCCAAGAAAGCCTGAAATAGCTTTGGGGCAAAACAAAGAGTACAACACAACTAAAAAATGACTTAACAGTAACCATAAAGCATTCTCTAATTATAAGCTAATACATATGTATATAACATTTTATATATATATATATATATATATATATATACACACACACATACACACACATATATATTATATATATAAAACTATAAGCTAATATGTATATATAACATAATATATAATATATATATACATACACATACACACACACACACACACACACACATATATATATATATATATATATATATATATATATTATTTTCTTCTGTCATTCTAACACTCATATACCACCTAGCATAAGCTTACTTAGGCTAGTTTCCCTTGCGCATGTATGACAGAACAGATATTTCATATTAAAATGCCTCATCTATGATGCGTAAATTTCCCTAAGTCTATTCTTCAACTTTAGTTGATATCTTTCCCCCTTTATTAGTTATAAAGAAGATTTCAGGGGCAGCTAAGTGGTTCAGTAGAAAGAGCACCGGCCTTAGATTCAGGAGGACCTGAGTTTAAATCCAGCCTCAGACACGTAACACTTACTAGCTGTGTGACCCTGGGCAAGTCACTTAACCCCTTTGCTTAGCAAAGGAAAAAAAAAAGGAGCCTAGAAAGATGATTTCATCCAATGAGCCAGAAGTCAAAATACAAGATTAAATGTCCTTTCCTTCTCATATCTCAGATACAGTTGGGCCAACATATTATTCAATGCCTCAGTTTCTCCTGTAGCAAAATAGATAATGATATGCATCTTTCTATCCCAGAAATACTTTAGAGATTGATAATGTAATATGTTTGAAATAGCTTGGAGAATTGTGTAAGATAAACACAAAGAAGTATTTTTGGATGTGTTGGCTGCCTCTTTCCATGTTAAATTTTATTCTGCCAGTTCCCAAGCTCTGTAGCATCATGTCTCTGTCCTAGCATTTACAGCACCTCTCAATTTAGAATCATCTGTGAATTTAATTAAT